GGTGCCGAGCGTGGCCCGGCTCCAGCTGCCCCGCGTTGCGGTTGTGGGGCCGGATGAGGGTGGCCCCGTAGAAGCGGTCCTTGAGCAGGGATCCCACGAGGCGAAACTCAGGTGTCACCTGCCAGCAGGTCTTCAGCTGGCAGCTCCCCGAGGTGCCGTGGCACTTGCACTTCCTCCGCATGTTGTCCATCACCACCTGGAAGGGTAGACAAGGGGTTAGCATGGGGAAAACAGTGCGTGGGGGCCGGAGAGGCTGCCCCAATGCTTGCTGTGGCTTCACTGTATGGGAGCACTGCGGACCGGCACAAGCAGCGCCCGCATCCCCAGAGTTGCAAAGCCAACAAGGCTGCACCCCACTGCTGTGCACAGCATGACCGAGGCCCCAGGCGTCACTTCCTACTCATCCTGGCAGTACCAAATTACATTTTTAGTCCAGCATAGGACAGACCCCTAAAGGACAGGTGAGCTATTCAATCGCAGCTGCTCAGCCCTGCCCGTGGCAGCAATGAGGACAAGGAGTCTGGGATCCAGCTTTCAACCCTGCTGGGGCCCAGAAGCATCAACGAAATCCCTGACGCCCGGTAAAAGGCAGTGTGGCCAAATCTCTTCCAGCTTCCCTGGGACACCTGCGCTCCCAGCAGCCCTCTGGCACCAGCACAGAGGTCTCCCAAGCATCTGGCCGATGGGGACTGATGCTGGGGCCCCGGCCTCTGCACTCTCTGCCCTGTGCTACAAGCCCAGCTGTGGGTTGCAGCGCAGCTGCTCTGCAGCCAGGTGCTGCGGAGAAGGCTGAGACCATTGGCAAACTGCTCTCTGCAGCCCTGTTGGGCCAAGATGCACAGCTCACCTTTGCAAACCCCTCTCTCGGCCAGGGAAACTGCTGTGCTTGGTCCTGAACCACCCCCTTCTCCATGCATGTACATGGCTGCCTGCAAGTGAGACCCTCTTCCTTCCTCGGCAGCCCTATCTCTTGCTCTCCTGTGCTGGCCCCCACCAGCTCCTCCGCTTCCCAGCCCAGTGCTGCAGCAGGGTCTCTGGGGACCTGGGGATGATCTTTTTCCCCTTATAAGGGTTTTCCAACAGTGACTGGTGCTGGCAGCTCTGTGGACCCCAGGTGCCACCCATAAAGCCCCAGCTCCAGGAGTCCCAGGAGCAGCTCGGCTTTTGGTTCTTGCCTGTTTTCCTGAGTGAGCCCTGGGTGCAGAGAGCTGGGGCTAAAGAGCTGCCTCCTGCCACCATGCTGAGAGCTGAATTTAAAACAGGGACCAGAGATGCTCGCAGCCTGGACTTGTGGTTTTGGGAGGCCGCAGCAAGGCCACTGCCACACGTCCATCCTCTGCAAGGGGGCAGCGCGCATGGGCTGGCCACATGTGTGGTTTGTTTTGGCCAGGGAGCGCAGTTTGCACAGGGGCAAGCAGCCAGCGCGCAGGCAAGGAGGACCTTTGGGCAGGCGGCCGTGCCAAGGAGGCCAAGGAGGAGGGGACTATGGTGCACCAGCAGGGCCAGGTGCCAGCAGCCGGGGCAGGTGCTGAAGGGTTGAGGTGGGAGCTGGGCTCCGTTATGGCTCAGGGACATTCGCTCGCGTGGCTCCGTGCCCCCGGGCTGGGGCAGAGAAATGTTGGCCACAGCTTTCCCTCCCGGTGTGGAGAGGTACCTGAAGCCACTCAGGGCAGAGAAGGGGCCAGGCTCTCTCCATCCAGGCCTGCTCCCCTCACTATGTGCAAGCCAAGCATGCAAGACACCACTGTCCCCGTGCACTGGGGTGATATGCCATGGTCTACACATTTCATCCCCTTCCCTCCACCCAGTTCCTCCCAGCTGAAGGCACGGGCTGCCAGTAACCCCAGTGATGCTGCTGGCAGGCACTGAGCCCCATCCTGCACATGGTGTGGGGCAGACGAGGGGGGACCCGCATGCCAGTACCCCAGCTCCTCCACCCCTGCAAAGGGTGCTGCTTTGGCTGTGCCAAGGGGAACAGCACTCTCCAGGGGCACAGAGCGGCTGCATGTCCGTGCCGGGCCCAGGAGGAAGCAGTTCATGCTGCCATCTGCTCTGTCCCTGCCTGGGGACGGGGATCCCTGCTTTGGACATTGCCTGGCCTCCCCTGGCAGCTCCTCCAAGCCATCCTGGGGAGGAGCAAGTAAGAGAGCAGGCCTGTCCTCGTCCTCCCCCTCAGCACCCCTTCGCCCGACAGTAACGACGTAATAAGGGAAATTAGCCCCAAATTACAGAGCGCGGATAGATTTAAGGCAGCAGGCCCTTTGAAGCGCTTTGCCACCAGTTTTGTGGTGGCTGGGAGACAATTTCCTGCCTGGCCCTGGCCTCTGCAAGCAGGGACAGGGATTCCCTGCCGGGTCGCGCACCCCGGGGCCCACGTGCCCGCACCGGCTCCAGCAAATCCCCTTCCCATGGCCCCCTCTGGCTAAGCCAAGCCAGGGCTGCAGCAGAGCAAACCATGCTCTTGCAGGCTGATATTCCCCCCTTGGGCCAGCCGCTGGGGCTTGGGGGGAGCCTGGGGCCCCTGTGGCCCCCTGCCAGGTCTCGGCCGTGATGCCAGCCGTGCCCAGCCATCCAGCTTTGTGCCTGACACACACTGCCTGTTCTTGCCCCCTCCCTGGGGGGAATGCGTGTGCAAGGAGTGCCTTGTTTTGGTAGGGGTGGGTATTTTTTTTCTCCTTGTTTTCTTGTTTTTGAGTAAATCTCACCGTTGCTAAGCAGTTATGTTAATGAAGGCAGGTCAGGAAAACATGCCTGGAGCTCGGGGCACATGGCGGAGAGGTCTGGGCTGGGCTGGAGTTTGGCTTTCATCCTGCTGAGAGTCCTGTCTCCTGCTGGGAACAACCTGCACCTCACAGGTAATGAGCTGCCCGTCCTCTCTGCCGTGCCCTGGGTGTGCCGGCAGGAAACACCAGCTGTTTGCCGCAGTCCACGGGAACACGTTCACTCGCAGAAGGATCCCATCCCTTCCCGTGTCCCCTCCCTGCTCCAGGACTGCCAGACTGGCAGACAAG